AAATGGATAACAGCGACAAATCCGAGTCGGACTCTGAGCAGGATGGCCGAGTGTAGGATTGGTAATTCCATATTACCTGGCAGCATTCCAATACCTATGTTCACCTAGTTTACCGTTTTCCTAATTTATAGTACCTTTGTTAGTTTTAATCAAGTACCAGTGTTAATTGGTACCAGTTGTTAAATTGTTATGTCAGAGTGAGTGACAAATAAAATAAGTCTGTCATGAATGCACTAGAAGAACTGTGTTGTTTCATTCACCCCTAGACAACTACAAAACGCTACAATATATCAATAATTATTAAACAATTTGTAGTAAGTAAGTTGTAATGTCTATGTACTTTGTTTTGAATGTATGTTGTTTTATGTCCGATTGATCAATAAAGTGCTATTTATAGAACAGTTTTGAGTCAATAAAGTAGCAGTTTATTGTACTAGTAAAATAAAGTGCTACTTTATTTTACTAGTGAAATAAAGTGCTATTTTATTGCCTACCTGGACTACCTGACAGGTGAAACAGGCCCTGACAACCTGCCAAGGTGAAACAGGTCTTGACAACCTGCCAAGGTGAAACAGGTATACCTACGCGAATTTTACTTTCTTCATTAAATTTTTTTAATTTTTAACAAAAACCAGTCGTAATCGTACATAAAATTATGTGTATAACGCTTACATAAACAGGCTTTATTGACTCATTATTTAATAGCCTCGCTCGCAAGCTCGCTCGGCCATAAAATTATTCGTACAATATAGCCTTACTTTATGTACTTGTTATATAAATAGCTATTAACTCCAACTGTGAACTTCTTTATTTTTACCTGTAACTAAGTAGAGCAACTTTCTAACTTTTCAGTTTTCTTTAAAGATTTTTCAATAATTGAAATATTATTCTTAGAGTTACTAAAATGAGATGAAGAAAGTTTTTTCTCTTACTTCCAGGTTGCACTGATGATGGCCTAGGCCGAAAGCGCTCTGCACTGAATTGATTTAATAAATTGCACGAAATACAAAACCCTCCTCCTTTCGTCTATAATATTAAATATAACAGTCATTTGATATTATCCGGTGTAACTCAGCTTACGACATTACTCAGAAAACTTTGTGATTTAAAGAAGCACCTAATGCACTTTTGATAAATAACACTTAATTTGAAAACATTAAAAATTACCGGAGAAGTTATATGAATATGTTGAAAAATATTTAAGGCATTTGAATATTTCAGTATAAAACTTAATGATGAGATATAGGTATCTGACTCATCCGACGCTTCCGATAATTATAATAGGGATTTAATATTATACTGGATATTCTGGAGAAATATTTTATAATAAATGACCAAACTCATAGGACACACATTAATGCATATAACTTTGCTTTATTCTTCCAATGCAGGAAAAGAGAAACTGCCATCAGAAAAAAAATTGCAATTCCAGTTCTCATATATCAATTTGATCCAAAATGACACTGGACACACAAATCATACCAAGTAGATCGAAGTATTATGGAAAATGGAAATGGCAGTCTCGATGAGCAGGCTGGACATGAAAGATTCTCCTAAACAAACCAAGGAAGATCACTGGGAAGACGAACTCAATCATTACTTTTCTAGAGCATTGCAAAAAAAAAACTAAAACGAATTAAAGGTCGAGACGAGACTATTGAGTCGAGAATCTCTTTTCGTCTTGTCTCTTTCAGTCGTCTCGCTTTTCTCAGTCTCGTCTCGTCTTGAGACTTAATGGTTTTCGAGACGAGAGTGTTTGAGTCTCGTCTTGTGGCATCACTAGGAATACAGAATACGAAAGGTTGTTACCAGAAGCTGCGAATAAGGCGAATGACAGTCAGAATAGAACCTGTGGACATCTAAATTGCTGGACAACTACTTTCGAACAAGAGAAGTTTTCCGCCTAACTTTCAAGCTCAATATTTTTAAAACCAGACAAAATACCGACCTCCGGTTTTCACGGGCTGACAAATTGGATTTTTGTGAAAAAATTTGCCATATGGAAATCAGAGGTTGATATTTTGGTTCCAAAATCCTCGAGCTTGAAAGTTAGGCGAAATTTTCCTTTTGCTCGGAAGCAGTTGTCCAGCAGTTTAGTTCTCGTGACGCAAGGCCAGAAGAAGAATAACATGGGCTTTATAAAGGAAGGCATCCTAGAGGGCATTCATTTGGCAGGCATTTAATAAAAATAGGAATTTACGAAAACTCTAGAGATTTCTTTTTTTTTCGATTGATTTGGTACCTAAAGCGCGTAGTTTGTGAGTTACAATAGACCCGCGCGAGACCCGCTGATGGAATATCGTGACGAGCAACCCAATTGCCAAAGTTATCGGTATCGAGTTCGTAAACCTACGGTAATATATCGTACAACTTTTTGAATCCTAATCGGAGATTTCATTACCTATATTTTTTTGAAATATTCTTGAATTATATTTTTTCAAATTTTAATTTTGAGTTTATTTTTTTAAAAAATTAGCGTTAACGTTTCGGTCTCACTTGGACCTACATCAGAACATCTATCTACATATAATGGTAAATTTCATGTGTGATATTTAATAGAGTGCAATAAATTGTGTTTAGGTCATCAGTTACATATTATATGATTTCGCTAAATTTCGGATTCGAATAACTTCGAGAATTGTTGCGCTGCTGCTCTCTCTTTCTTTATCAGTGATCTGGATTAGATAATTATGTAAAATTCACGTCAAAGCACCAGTTCGTTAATGGCATATTAAGTACCAAGTTTAATACCAAGTTTGATGATACAATATGACACAAAACAATGTGGTGGTCAATCGTAACACGTAACACGTCGCTAGATAGTAAAGTGTTGCTAGGTAATGAAGTACCTGGGACTAAACGACTTATTAAAAGTGCGAAAAATAGTTAATATTTCAACATAAGTGCTGAAACTTTAACTATTCACGGTACCACACAGATTTAAGTGTGAAAAACTTGCTGCTCATCAAGCAAACATGAAAATGCTATAAAAGCTTGTTTAATAGGCAAGAAATAAAACTGGAAAAGTAATGTTTATTTATGTTTGTTTTAATTAAACAAAATGTTAAGGGCTTTAAATGTATCTGTGAAAAACTCATATGTAAGACGAAAAGTTTAATGATTGGTTAAAATAGGTAATGAAGAATAAAAAAAGGTTTGTATTTCGTGCAAAATTCTTTAATAAATATTAGTGCAAAGCGCTTTCGGCCGTGGCCATCATCAGTGCAACCTGAAAGTAAGGAAAAACACTTTCTGAAGATACTGGAAATTTTGAAAGTTTGGAAATTTTGGATAATTTGAAAATTTTTGAAAATTTTCTGAAAATTTTGGAAAATTTAATCTAAATTGATTTAAAAAATTCAAAAAGAAAGAAAATAATTACTAAAGAAAGTAGATTTACTCACTTCGTCAGGTTTGTACAAAGAGTCTTCTCGTTGAACATATAGGTGTAAAGGAACGAAAACATCACATTACAAATTAAAAATTAACACTTTAAAATATCGGAAGATCTTTGGTTTTTACTGGTACTCTATGCAAAGGCTGCGTCTTTCAAAATTTACAATCACATTGAAAGATCTTTTTTAAAGTTTAAATTAAAATTTCTTTAAATTTTTGTGGAAGACCAACATGGTGATGTGCAACCATTTTGTGTATGGTTACACGTTTTTAATTGTAGTTTCCGTTTAGAGTGACACATGACAAGTAAGTCAGTGTAGCTGACAAGAGCGGGAAGTTCGAAAATAAAAATTTTTTAAAATCCAAAACCATTACCAACGTTTTTTTAAATCAATATTTGGAGATTTAAGATATTTATAGTGAAAAACAACATAGCTAAGTGGTGTGACCTGTAGTGTAGATGACGAGCTAGTCGTCCACAATGTGTAGACTACACATTGTGTTGTTTTTCACTATAAATATCTTAAATCTCCAAATGTTGATTTAAAAAAACGTTGGTAATGGTTTTGGATTTTATAAAAATTTTATTTTCGAACTTCCCGCTCTTGTCAGCTACACTGACTTACTTGTCATGTGTCACTCTAAACGGAAACCACAATTAAAAACGTGTAACCATACACAAAATGGTTGCACATCACCATGTTGGTCTTTCACAAAAATTTAAAGAAATTTTAATTTAAACTTTAAAAAACATCTTTCGATGTGATTGTTAATTTTGAAAGACGCAGTCTTTGCATAGAGTACCAGTAAATACCAAAGATCTTCCGATATTTTAAAGTGTTAATTTTTAATTTGTAATGTGATGTTTTCGTTCCTTTACACCTATATGTTCAACGAGAAGACTCTTTCTACAAACCTGACGAAGTGAGTAAATCTACTTTCTTTAGTAATTATTTTCTTTCTTTTTGAATATTTTAAATCAATTTAGATCAAATTTTCCAAAATTTTCAGAAAATGTTCAAAAATTTTCAAATTTTCCAAAATTTCCAAACTTTCAAAATTTCCAGTATCTTCAGAAAGTGTTTTTCCTTACTTTCAGGTTGCACTGATGATGGCCACGGCCGAAAGCGCTTTGCACTGATATTTATTAATGAATTTTGCACGAAATACAAACCTTTTTTCATTCTTCATTACTCCTCAACGTGCACACAGCTCTACACCCTCTAAAATAGGTAATAACAGAAAAATCACTTCTCACACTTGTTATGTAAATAGCTGATATCTACAAGCATGGGCAGACCTATAAATTGTCATGGCTTATACAGCTTTTTATCCAATAACTACATTTCAGGTAATCATAATAGTATGAATAATTTTGAGGGTTGAAGCGGATTCGTGGGATATTTATATATTAGAGGTATCTATATGTATGTATATGTGATATTGTCTAAGTTTTCAAAAAACTCAAGTTTGAGCATATACTTATGCTGGAGAGTTTCTAGGAATTCAGAAAAATTAAAATGAAGTAAATTCAAATTTCGAAATATTTGCGATATTTTACTAAGAGATCGAATATACATATTATCATTCAAAAAAATTCTTACCTAAAAATTATTCCAATATGCTACGTAAACAAAAATTCACTTAAATCCGTGGCTTCTAGCGTGTGCTCCGTGAAATCGGTGTGCAGCAACGAAGGATCGCCGAAATCGACGGGCGAAAGTGAAGATTCTGGAAAATCTGGCGAAGATAATAGCGAACCTGAATGATCCGATATACTCAGCGATTCGCCATCGGACTCTAGCAGCAAGCAATCCAAGTCGGAATAGTCTTGTTGCTGCAGCTCGGCAATGTTCATCGCTGGATTGTTCAGGGCTGCGCTTAGGGCGCTTATGTATTTCATTGCTAGTCTGAGGGTAGTTATTTTAGTTAGTTTTTCGTTAGCTGCGGCTGGTGTTACTACTGGAGCTTGCATGTGAGGAATCACTCTTCTTAAGGTTTCGAATGCTTCATTTATTTCTCGCATTCTGTTTCGTTCCCTTGCGTTAGCTGTTTTCCGTCTGTATTTGCTCAGCGGGGCTGATTTTGGTTTATTTTTAGCAGTATTTTTGGACACTTGCCTACTAATTGAAGCTTCTTTTTCCGATGGTGGTGCTTTGAGCTTCTCAGTTAATCTTCTCAGAGAGCGTGGTCTAAGGGAGTATTTATCACCTTTTAAAGCTGGATTGTCATCAAAATCGTCATTATTATTATTACTGTCGGTGAAATTTATTTTTAAATCTTGAAGATTGGAGTAATTTATCAGCGAATCCATGACACTAATGCACTGGAATAATTTACACAGAAGTGTAAATTTAAAAAAAAATCGAAACAGAGTTACTAAAATATAACGTCTCTTGCACTCCGCGATCTTTTCTTCGCGCAACACGAACAATCTGTAGACTGATGCTGGTACTGCGCTGGTACTACTGGCCGTCGTCGTCGACTAAGTGACTTAACTCAGTGGTACTCGTGGGCATAATACCCCGAAATCCCTACCATCAGGGCACGCGCTTATCACCATCAGGAACCAGCGGATTTGAGAGAGTGACCAGTCGGGCATGTATGATGAATTAAGCAGCTTGTTGCGAGTGGAGGTGTCATTGTTAAGATAGCCTATTCACGGAGATAAAATGTGTCCGACTTAATAAATGTTAATGGCAATGGTGGAAACGGGTGGGTTGGATACATTTTATTTGCGTAATTTTTACTTGCTGACTGGATGGAATAAGACTTACTTAATATGTATCTGTCTATTACTCTATACATTGAAACGAAGTTTCTCACTGAAATGTTGCGCTGAGATTGATTTTTATACCAAATGGAAAATTATCGTTTTATAGTTGGTGGAATCATTTGGACTGTCTATCGACCAATTATTTTTAGTATTGTAAATGTTATTTTTTGTATTAAATTGTTTATTGTTTTAGGAATCGCGAATCGCTCTTTTTTAATTGATTATAATTTTCCTAATAAATGAAGGCAACTCCAAAAATATTGGGAAAAATAAATCGAATTGATGAAACCGATGAATTTTATAGGAAGTTTTGCCGTTTAATTGAGTTTGTCGGAAAACGGAAGTAGCAACCCAATAAACATAAAAAATCTAGGGAATTTTGTGTTGATGGCGGGAATATACAATATCTATACAAGTTTGGAATATGAACCGAAATAAGATGTTAGCAATCCAACGATGTTAGTATATATAAGAAAACTGTAATTTCTATTAGGTCAATTATAATTTATTATTTGGCTATTTCTGAAGTATTGAACTCAACCCGAATTTGAAAGCTTTTATTTTTCGATTGAAAACATATTTTTGCAGCAAGCAAAAAAAAAATTTGTAATTTTTATAAAAATTTTTGTTTACCATTTTGTCGTTGACAATTCCTCAATCGGAAATAAAATGTAACAGGGAGGAAAAGCAACAAGGTAGCAGGAAAATTTGGAAAGAATTAACGAAAAACGATGGAGACAAGCTGATAGTATTAGGCCAATAAAATAACATAAAAATTCTAAATGAATAATACTTTTAGCATAAACAAAAATACTCATGGAAACATGAAACTGGACAACAGAAATCGATTAGGTATTGACTACACTTATGCAAAATAAGCAACAGATTAAATTCCTGGATGTGGGGGAGCAACCTGTGGCAGTGACCACTACCTGTTCAAAAAAAAAAAAAACAAATCTTTATCCTTGGGAGAAACATCACAAGGGAAAACAAAAAGAAAAAAGAAGAAAAAAAAAGACAAGTCCGAGCCTTAAATTTTCTGCACTTTTCTCTGGTTTATAACTATAGTTCGAAAACTAAGCGTTTTTCAAGTGAAACTATGAATACCAATTTAAAGTAGACAAAACTTCGTACAATTACGTATAATAATGCTAAAGTCTCGACAATCCAAAACGTAGTTAGATCGTGTAGAAAAATTAGCATTTCTTGAGTTTCCTTAAAAAAAAAAAAGGTTATTCCAACTAAGGTTTTGATGAAAGGAAACATATTTGGAACAAATTGGCATTTATACACACAAAAAAAAAACACCATTATTTGATGATTTTCATATTCATTATTCATTCCACTCGCCCACATTTGCAAAATTATCATCTGGAACAATGGGAATGAAGAATATCCTAATATAATAGTATTTATCCCTATGTAAATTAGGACTATACCTTCACAGATCAAAATGGCATAATAGTTATTTTTGTATCTAGTGCGCGAAATGCTACTCAGTGATCGAGAACTGATTCTTTTAACGAGGCGCAGCGGAGTTAAAAAAAAGTCGAGATCACCAAAGTATTTCGCGCACAACAATATTTTTTCTACAACTTCATTTGAATATCTATCATTCGAAGCTTTTGTATTTACAATCAAAGGCAGGTGAATTTTAATTATTTTTGGTTTCTTGTCAGGTATCAGGTATTTGTTGCATATCTGCAAAGGTAGCAGTGCTGAGCGGCTGAAAAGCCGAAACGACTCCCCCGCAATCTACCTGAGTGTGCGAACTAGGCATTTCACACACTGGATAATCATTTCGCACACGGCGTCATGGGAACGTAATAAAAAATCTACCTGAAAAAAAAAGTGTCATTTCGCAAATTGTCATCAGTGATGTGCAAACATCATCATTTTTTGACAGTTATAGAAAATAGTTATTTATGCAACAAGTGTGTAAAGTGAACCTAGTGCGTCAAGTTTAATTTCGCGTCTTCTCAGAAGACGAGAAAGTGAGTACTTTACGCACGGTAGTAGAAAAAATATTTTTTTCTATGAGTATGCGCAAAGTAGGTACGTTGCACACGCAGTTGGTAGCGCCACAGTTACTTTTGCGCACTAGTGCGGACAAGAGCTAATTTTGCGCACTAGTGCTGATAGGATTTAATTTTGACAAATTACCAGTGAAAATATTCATATACCTACCGTTAAAAGGTCTGTTTCCACAGAAATCACAAACCAGTCAGAGCGTTTTTGATTGGTGCAAATCGCCAACAACCAGTTTTCTGACTATTTTTTACGAATGAAATTCGCTCTGACTGGTTTGTGATTTCTGTGGAAACAGGCCTTATGATTGCATGACATTTGTCGTCAGGGTTTATAGGTGTGTCACGTCAGTGTCAAACAAATTAATTTATTATCTTTTCTTTGGTCGTTATTCTAACTACATCGTCAGCACATCAGTCGTCAGCCTGAGCCTAGATACTCGCAAAAAAATGGGAAACATTGGAGCAGAAGAGAACGAGGAAATACAACATACATATTTTAGATAGAGCTGCCAGTGCCTGCAATAGTCTGCTACCCCAAAGGTCACCCGGAAAATCTCTCAATATCGTTCACAATAATCAAATGAAATAATCAGTTTTTGGTTGTTTTTGAGTGGGTATTTTGTTTTGAATCTTTTTTTTTTTAAGTTTATTGTCTCATTTTTTATTTTTAAAAATTTTCACTGCAGTCGGCGTGCGAACAAGACTTACTTTGCGCACTTGTTAGGAAATATACTATTTTCTACTACCGTGCGTAAAGTACTCACTTTACGCATTATTCAGAAGACGCACTAGCGCGTAAAGTAATTCACTTCATACACTAGTGCGTAAAGTAATGTCAATGACTGGTAAATTACTTCACGCACTAGCGCGTAAGATGAAAGTACTTCACGCACTAGTGCGTAAAGTATTTCTCTAAATCTATTTTTTTACACATATTTGATTGGTAGGTAGTAGACAAAATTTTGTATGCAATACGTGCGTAAAGACCTTTTTTCACTCATCTAATTGTCACACTCGCCTTCGGCTCGTGCGTCAAAATTCACATTCGTGAAAAAAGGTTCACTTTACACACTTGTTGCATAAATAACTATTTTTCTTATCTTACGACGTTAGTAGCTTTTTTCGGGTTCCCAAAAAGGGAGGATTCTAGAACGGTTCAAAATAATCGCACAGTTTATTATTGAAATTTGTGATAGCTGAGCCGTTGAAATGTTGTTAATTGATGAACAGTGCGATTGTTTTGAACCGTTCTAGAACCGTCCTTTTTTCAAACCCGAAAAAAGCTATTGGATTGCACAGACTTTAGAGTTATTATACTTACTAGTAAGAAATTTTGTCTACTTTAATTTGCTATATCAGTTATAATTAAAAAACGCTTAGATTTCGAGTAATAGTCAAAACCAAAGTGCCGAAAATTTAACACGTTAAGCGCCATGGCGGTCAGTGGTGACCGATCGGTGTAGTTCCTGGTAGGCCACGGCAGTAGTATAAGACGCGGGATACTGGGACACCTACCCCCTTGTCAACTACCTCTAACCCAAGGGGCACTACCTACTACCCTAACCCCAAGGGGCACTACTTACCACCCTCACCAATCCTCCCCTCACCTTATTTTAAAAGTTTATTTTTTTACCTTCCATTTTTTTTTTCACCTGTCGGTGTCACCTGAAACTTGTCACATCACTCACCTGTGTGATGAATTAAAATGGAATAAAATGAAAAAAAGTCTTGTGTCTGTGTGTGGAATCGAACCGTTGACCAGTCGCACCAAACCAAGAGCGCTAACCACGAGACCACAATAGAACTTGTTTGTAAGTATCAAAATGTTTGGTGCCATGATCACAGACTTGTAAAATTTGAAAGAAAAAAAAGTCTTGTGTCTGTGTGTGGAATCGAACCGTTGACCAGTCGGACCACTGGCTCAAGAACCAAGAGCGTTAACCACCAGACCACGGATAGATCTTGTTTGTAAGTATCAAAATGTTTGGTAGTATGATCAGACTTGTAAAATTTGAAATGAAAAAATTACTTTAAATTGAATAGGTAAAGTCCATTCCAAAATATTTCGTTGACTTCACGGCTATAAAACCCTACCATAAATTAGATAGCTATTAGCCTCTATTGTGTAGGTACCAGGTTCTTTTATGTAGGTACCGGGTTCCTTAATACCCACTCAAAGGTTTACAGGTACGGATTTTGTGCCCATTATAATGAAAACGAAAAAGGCGTTTCATAATATTATTTATTTATGTTATAATCTTATACTATCTTAATAATTACCAAAACTTAATATCTAATACAATATAATACAATACACAATTCAACCAAACCTAATCTATATTTACTTCCGTTTCACTGTCACTGTCATCTTCATCTATGCCTAAACTAATTATTAATGGCTTAACATTAATACCTATTGAATTATAGGTTTCTTCAACTTTTATAACCTGATTGACAGAATTTTTCCAGCTTTGAACTGGAATATTATCTACACATTTTCTAATTAAATCTATTACAGCAGTACTAAGTGTAGGAGAGGTGTTTCCTCTCCTAACCATTGCCTTCAATTCATGCCAGATATGTTCTATTGGATTGAAAATACAATAATATGGAGGAAGACGCAAAACTGTATGACCACAAGCGCTAGCAAGATCGTCACAAATA